TTTTCCCTCTGCTGCTCTGTGCTGTATAGGTACTTTTAGTAGGAGATGATATTTGACCAGCCGGTGGGATTAGCTCTGTATACTCTCTGCAGGTCGGAGTAGTTGGAGATGTGAGCAGACTTTTGACCTCTCTTGCCAGGCCGTCCTCCCATACCTGGTGATTCAGTGGCCTCTTGGAGCTTCCACACTGCTGCAAGCTGCACACACGTAACTCCTGAACTCTTGCTACTCCTGATGCCAGATTATACCAGTTCACATAGTGAGACAGCAGTTCACTATGTGTGTTTGTGTGTGAATGTGTGTGTGTTTGTGTAGGAGGCTGGTATGAGGTCTAAATCCCTCTGATGACCCCCCCTAGATCAGGTATTGTTGGGGCTCCCTCACCCCCTCAGACTGCCTGCAGGCAGGAGAAAGACAGTTACTTGAAAGGAGTTTCCTGGCAAGAGAGAAGAATTTTCTCTCAAATTAAGTTTGTAAACTAAAGAAAAGTAGAAAAAGTAAAAGTCTAGCAAGGAGTAAACTTTCTTCTTGCCAGACTTCTGCTGTTTGTCTGGTAATCTTTTAATTGAGGTATGTGTCAGAAATATTAATACAGTGGCACACGGCTCAGTGTTCTTCACTGAGAGTAAATATCTATATTTGTTGTGTGAGAGACTGACTAAATCATTGCTTTTGTGAATAAAGAAGTCTTGTTGTATTTTGTTGGCAGAAGATGGTGGAGTAACCTTCCTCTGTGTTTCAGACTGTAGGAATGCAATTTACAGACATAAAGCAGTCCGCACTTGAAACTTCAAAGGCTTTCTACCATTCCAGACTTAGATTTACAACGGGAGATGATTACACTACATTCATTATAGTATTTCTTTCTTTATCAAATAGTGGGTTGGCCCTTCATGTGGGAAGAGTCCATTTTTCCTTTTTGCTTGTCCAGAACTCATATTTTACATAGTTTATTGGGCACACAGTTGGAATTCATCAGACTAATTGGTGCTTCATTTTTCTCTTTAGATGTAAACAGCAAATATGACGGTCAGTTTTAGTAGAAGGACTTTTACATTCTACGGTTAAAGAAACAGTTTGATGTAAATTATTTGCCCACTCGCTTTCACTCTGGTCCAAAATACAATCAAAACCTAATTTCCAAGGTGAAAACATAAGGAAACTAGAATTACCACCTTGCAGTTGTATGCCTCTGCCAACCAGCCAAGTTGCAGGAAATATGGTCTCAATCTCTCCTTCCTGAGTTACAGCATTGAATAATGGCCAGAAGTGTTTTTGCAGAGCATTATGATGTCACAGTGAAGTTGACCTTTGACCGTTTGGATATATGTCATCACTTTATCATTTTATCCTATTAGACATTTGTGTTAAATTGTGTCAAAAGTGTATGAATTTATGAGTTATGGCCAAAAACAACATTTTTTGAGGTCACAGTGACCTTGACCTTTGACCTTTGACCACCAAATTCTAATCACTTCCTCCGTGAGTCCAAGTGAATGTTTTTGTCAGATGTAATGAAATTTCCTTTGGGGATTCTTGATATATTGCATTCACAAGAACGTGAGGTCACCATGACCTTGAACTTTGCCCACAAAAATCGAATGACTTCATCTTTGAGTGATAGAGACATTTTATTTGTACAACTCACCTCATGTTAGCCCTTTCTGCTGTAGAAAGACATTTTGCATAAAGATAACTACATGAAATGGATTTAGAGGGTGCACAAGTAAGAACTTTTTATTCACTGGATTGTAGACACACAGTTGGAACTACAGGAATCTCATAAAGGACAGAGACCACTCAGGAACATGGACTTAGTCCTCGCTGTGGTCAAGATTTTCCTTTTAATAAACTCTGAAGTCTTGGAAAAAGAGGGCCCCTGTTCCTCAAGGTGGTTCTCAGTATGAAACAAGGTTTAAAGGTAACTGAGAGCTGATCAGAAAGGCCAATTCTAATGGCAATGATGCACCGTTTCATTCCCATGGCCCCTCTGTAGAAGCTGGCAGGCAGCTGTGAGGTTACATAAACGTTACATAAAAATGCTGCTGGTCCGGTCCCTCTGCGTTCCCGATCCTTGCTTTTCTCAATCAGGGTTGATTAGTGTGAAGATGCAATTTGATTGTTTTGTGGATTTTTTTTCTCTCTCTGCATTGTTGATTTCCTAAGAATGCTCGGCTACATGTGTCTACTTCCAAGTATTGTTCCCTGTTACAGTTTTAGCTTTGGTCTGCTCTGTCCTCAACTATCACACGAGAAAACTGTGTGAGTGTGTGTGTTTGTGCATGTGATCACCTGTTGAATGTCAGGACCGCAGTGTTCACCACAATCCCTTCTTTTGTCTCTTTGCTCTTTTCCTTGGCAGCTTTTTGTTTTCCTCCCAGCGTTGTTTGTCCAGAAATCATTTCTCATTGCTTAGCAGGTGTTTGAGTCATTCATATTTTTGTGGGTTTGCTTGTGAGAATGAACAAATCATGAAAATATTGTTCACTTGGCAGGTTGACGTGATGAAATGGTTGATCCTTATAATGATGGGTTTGCACCCTGTTTCATTATGATTGGAGGTTTTGGTTATACCTGCTGCGCAATGGCTGAAAAACTACTTAGACGTGTCCCCCATGAGTTCACCTTGTGTAATTATATCTATGTATAGACCTGCAGGTATGCTATATTTGGGTTACACAAAACCACTACAGTATATTTAATACAGCTATTCCTAGAACTGAATGAACACTGGAATTACATGTCTGACATGATTCACCTGCTATTTGCCTCATTTCTAACCCATTTTCTAACTGGACAGCATCAGCCTCCACCCTCACACTTATCATAACTGGCCAACATGATGAAATATTTCCACAAACAATGCTTCATATTCAGCGATGTGAGCCAGAAACATAAGGCGATAAATCTTGGGCTTCCTTTTCTAATTAATACGGAGTCTTGTGTGGCATTGTTTGTACACCGCCCTGACAGCATTGAGTGGACCTGCATGGCCAACCATAACAGCACAGAGAGGGGGGAGGGGGTAAGGGGTTGTATTAAAGCCCAACAGGATGATCATAAAATCAAAATGGCTCCCAATGCCAACATCTCTGTGCCAATGAAAATACATAACTGCCAGGAGGAGGAGAGGCTGGTGTAACATTAGGGATTAAGGCTTACATTGTGTACAGTAAATCAGCAGGAGGCAACAGGGATTTGGAGCAGGCAGTGATTTCGACTTCTGATGATCCCTGAGAAGTCTTGATTATAGGTGTCAGGCCTTACTAAGCACATGTTACGGAACAGAATAATTCAGGTAAACAGCCATTTTGCAGTTTTTGGCTTTAGCTAGGTCTGGAAACAGATGATGGCAGTCAAGGTACTCATGTTTGTGCAATGACCAGATGTTTCTGGATATTTAATGTTAGTTTGTATTCATAAAATTTGTTACACTCTCTTAGTTGTTTGTTAATTTAACTGATTTCTCAGGAGCCTTTTAGTTAGCGTTTTCCTGTTTTATTGCATTTCTTCTGAATTTGTCTATCTTATCTACTTGTTTGACCTGATTTGTTATTTGTTTCATTTTTTCCTGCCATTGTGTCACACGTGTTTATTTTCCCACTGAGTGTTTCCCAAAATTCTCTATGCTCTGCCCCACCAGAGTGATGTTTATCCAGCTTCCAAGTTGGAGGGATCTGTAACTGGTGTTTGAGTAAATGAAGGAAAAAGAGGCTCTGGTCCGGTGTCATGCTCTCCCCGGAGTCCTCCAAAGTCTGTTTGTTTTTAGATCTGCCCCACAACAATACCCAGCTCTCCCCACACACACACTATCTCGTACACACTTTGCACAAAGCTGACTGAGAAAACAAGCGACAGCCATAACAAGGTCTCAAACAGGAGCTGCGCTCCGTAGGAAAACCTGCACTCACTTCCCAGGCTCCTGGCTGACTCACCACTGTCCTATTATATACTGCAGTACATGAAAGTCCCCAAAAAGTCAGGAAAGCAACACTTGACATTTTTTGGCTCCATTACATAAGACTACATTGTGGATTTAAGAAGTCTGCTCTGATGAAAACAAAAGAAAAATGCAGCTTTGATGTTTAGAATAATAAATACTGACATCTGTCCCTGAGGGTAACAGTGAAGAAAGCTCCTTTGTTTTACCTTGTTTCTTCACCGGTCGGTCTGTGAATGGAGGAGGGTGAGAACGTTGTTTCTGATTCTCTCAGAACTTCAACACACACACACACATACACACACACACACACACACGGACCGTTATTATTTTTCTGTCTCACCCCTCTTTTTCTCCATGGGGGGCTTTAATTAAATGTGTTGCTGCAACAACAGGTACTCACTCAACCCCGTATTAGTCTATAGGGCTGTCTGACTTTCTGTTTATGGGTCAGAGCAGCAGCTGTTATTTTGTCCATATGACTCACAGTTCACAGTGAGGGAACCCGTTTTATGAATATATATTTAGATAAATAACAGAAGTCTGTGCCATGCTGGATGCTGTAATGGGCTGTAGCTTCCATTGATATTACATTCAGCTATTGTGAGTTTTATTTAAGCTGAGACAAGATAAACTAAAAGTACAGTACAAGTTAACTATACTACAAGTATAAGAACAGATGCATAGTTAATTTAACTAAAACAGAATATTATATCTACTGTATGAGCATCTTCTGCTGAAGCATGAACACAAATGGAGACACTTTTATTAAAAGACATTTAGAACCAAAGCAGCCCTTAGTGATAGTGATGGTGAGGATATTTTACTCTTTTGAAAATAAATGGTTTTATAGATCATTGGTTTCTGGACTATTAGAGCACAGACTGACAATAAAAAGTCAAGCTGACTCTTTAGTAGTATCTGCAGTGTCACCTCTACAGGGTTCAAGACTTGACTTTTCCCTGTGCAATGGAACTGCATGGGACAACTCATGGAGGTCACGAGGAGGTCACGACACTGCATCCTCACCCTGCGTGTTTCTCTTGTTTCCACCTGTTAGATCCTGGATGAGATCGCAGAGCACGGGATCAAAATTTATCAGCTACCTGACGCCGACTCTGACGAGGACGAGGAGTTCAAGGAGCAGACCAGAGTCCTGAAGGTGAGAGAGGGACACACGGCTGATGTCAGCTGTTACGACCCTGCATCAGACATTTCCCTCTGCAGGTTTAGTGACGGACACCATTCACCCTTGCTTCCCTTCACCATATCCCCTCCTCTCTGATTGATACCTCTATTTTCCACATCTCTGTCCATATCCTTTCTTCTGACTTTGTTTCTCTCTGGTGATCAATTGACCTTTATCTTCCTTTCCCAGGCGAGCATTCCCTTTGCTGTGATTGGCTCCAACCAGCTGATTGAGGTGAAAGGGAAGAAGATCCGTGGTCGTCTTTACCCCTGGGGAGTTGTTGAGGTGGAGAACCCTGAGCACAATGACTTCCTCAAACTACGTACCATGCTTGTGTGAGTCTCCTCTAGTAATAAAACTGTTTAAGTAATAGGATGTTCCAAAGGGAAGCCTTTTAAAACCTTGACAAAACTTTTGCCTCATTGAACTGGTTGTCCACCAGTCCACTAGAGAAACAGAAAAGCAAATCTCTACTGCCTTCTAGTGTTTGAAGATAGGATTGCATGTCTGTCTGTTGCAGGACTCACATGCAAGACCTCCAGGAAGTAACTCAGGATCTGCATTACGAGAACTTCCGCTCAGAGAGGCTGAAGAGAGCGGGCAGGTGAGACACTAATTTACATCAATTAACCAGCGGATGAGCTGCTCCTGCTCCATTTAATGATATAATAATTCAATTTTTTTTTTTGTTTCCTGCAGGGCTGTGGATGAGGATGTGATGGATAAGGACCAGATCCTGCTACAGAAAGAGGCTGAGGTGAGAACTCTGATAATAAATGTGTAGCTGTAAATACAGATGTGCAGGCTCCAAAACAAATTAAATGATAGTTTTGGGTTTGTCAAGTTTATATGAATGCAGTACTCACTTGCCATATGTATGTTAAAATAATTATTGGTCACTGTGTAATCATCCTCCATTCTGCATTCCTCCCCACCTAATGCAACTCTACTAAAGGTTTGAGTTACAGTCTTTGTAGTACAAAATTCACCTTTTCCTCATGTTTAATGCTTAAAAGACCATACTAGGGCTTAAGTCACATTACTGACAACCATTTCCCAATTCATGCAAGTGCCTCTGTAATTTTAAATGATTTTCTTTTTTTACCTTCCAGGAGCTCTGGTTTCTTTTCATTTAGTATGATGTCAAAATCAACTCAAAGAGACTTAAAACTTGCACCTACAGCTAATGCATCCTAATCAATCACACATCTGCACAGGATTCCATTAAAGTTACAGAATTACACAGAACAAATGTACATATCTGCCATGGAAGCTAGTCAGATTCAATTGTTTTACAAGAAAAACCATAATTATGGAGGACATATAAATAGGACAAATTACTGGCAGTGAAGCTACTGTACATAAAACTGCCATTGCAAAGGTCTCCACTTGATTTGGGTACTTAGCTTCAATTCAACTTAATCACAGAACAAGGACTTTGGATTTTGCTCCATATGCATCATCTAGGCTGATTTAGGAAGGAATCACTACGCCATGGTCAGTATGGAGAGGAGGAACTTAGTGACCAAAAACTCTCTCGGTGTCCATGTGGGCATGTGAATCTTGTATTAAGACAAACATGAAAAACTCCAAACCCATCCTTCAAAAACACACTTCGATATGATTTGTCAAGCTAGAGTAACCCAGATGTGCCCAGAGAACAGTATGTCGTGAAGTGTATGTGCAGACTCACCCTTACTGTGTAGAAAAACTGCCTTGTCATATTTGTTTTACATGTGCCCCTAACATTGTGGCCGTGGTTTTACCAGCTGTAAGGTGAAACCAGGAAACCTTTCAATTCTTCAGAGAGACAACATTTTAGAAAGAGAATCAAAAGTCTTATTTATTTTCACCCCACTATCTTCCATATGCATTGTTTACCTTTTGGGCCATGGAGCCTGCACGTCCCTAGGCAATAACCTGTTTCCTGATTGCTCTTGATTGCCCTGTTTGTGTTACTGCTGCAGTGCACCATAGTGAGTGGGCGGGGTGCAATCAGAACTGTTTGTAAACAATGTGCCCAGGCAGGATATGCCATCACTTCCTGCCTGGATGTCCTGGCTCAGTTTTTATTGTGGGAATGACCTCAGTGATGTGAGGAGCCCAAAACACAAAGCTTGAGAGACAGTGGTAAATTTCTTTTGAGTTTTGAGTGGGAGGAAATATTAAAGTAACTACTATTACTCAGACTTGACTCAGACTAATGTAACACTTTATTCTACAAGTCCCTAGTTTCCTAATAATTTCCTAAAAAGCAACTGATGAGTAATGAAAGGGAAAATGGAGAGAGTGTTCAATTGTTACACTTCCACTGAATCAATTTAGATTAACTGGCACTATTTAAAACATGCAACACAGAATGACATAATACAAGACACACAAAGCATTGAAATTGTGAATATATTAATGTAATGTGCATGAAATAAGACAACTTATCTTATTAAGAGTAGAGTTTCCAATAAAAAAAATACATATTAACGTTGGTATAAATTGATCTCTATAATTGTTTTCAGCCATTAATGTTTTTAATTGGTTCATAAATAATACTACTTTTCAAGGAAAGTCACCTTCAGTATGCCTTCACATTTCATGTTTCTCTCATCTTTAACCCAATTAAAATTTTCCAAACATGAAGGCGATAAGGAAAAAGGGGAAGTAGTGTTGAGTAAAACATCTCTGAACACAAACCATGTGAAGTTCTACACTCAGCCACAAGATGGCAGCAGACATAAAAGAAAGCTAAAGTTGTTGTTTAACAGCCACAACCCATGGTGGTTTCATTTACTTATTAATGGTCCAGTTGTTACTTTCACATTAACATTTATTTACCTTTCAGCTCCTTTATTGTTTTACATTGATTTTTTGCTTCATTCATTTTTAAACCGTTCCCTCTATTGCAATCAGAGCTGTGCTGTGCTGATATAAATTAATTTCTAGTAATAATTCATGAGATGTTTTTGTGCTAAGCGTTCATTGCCTTGTTTTTGCTCTAGGAATCAGCTGTCAATCAGTCAGTGTGTGCAGTACTCTTATATTGTTCTTGTGTGTCTGTTCTGAAGTTTGTCTTTCTATATATTGCCTTTCTTTTCTTGGTTCGTTCAGTCATTGTGGTTTCCGTGTAGACGTGGTCAGGAGATGTGTTGTACAGATCAGTTCTTTTCAAACATATTGAATCCTTAAGAACATGAGAAGATACTCAACAGCAGCGTTGGGGAATGTTAGTGTCACATTAAGAAGCGACCTCTATCTCTCTGGTTAACTGACCCATGGCTGTTGCCTCACACTGAGCAACATATTCACAGTTCAGTTAGTTTTTTCCCTTAAATGTCTCTTTAATTAAATTAGATAAACACCACCCAGACATCTGTATATTAAATCACTAGACGGGCAGACAGCCAATCTAAAGGTATTTAAACAGTATTTCTACTTTACACAGACTAATAGAGAACTTAAGTTTCTCTAAAAAAATCTTTTATTTTCTTACTGTTAAATAAATTACCTGGCTGGGGCCCTATTTGGTACATAAAATTTATTTCAATGTAATCTTGCATATACATTTTTTTAGTTACACATATAAAGTTCTCATTGCATAGGACTTCAACCCACAAAGTCATGATTACAAGCAGAGCACCAAACATGTCTGTTTTATTCTCAGTGGTTTAATGTGATCTGTGTTTGATGTCCTGAGTCTGTGTTTCAACGTTATGAAATAAACCAGACTTGAATTAATCTGAGCTCATTAGCTCTGAGTTGGCTTTATGAGACAGATTGATCCTGGTTCAGTTTTGTCTTACTCTTGGTAGACCTTTCACAGGAATACTTCCTGAGCCTCCCTCTGTTTATTCCAAATAATAAACACAAAACACTTCACTTCCCCGCAGAGGATTTTTCCCTGGAAAGATTTACCCACTAATACGTTTTTTAGCAAAAAGTGTACTGAGCTGTGTTGAGAGCAGCTTGTCCAAGTTTTCATTTCTCATCAGCTTTTAATACGAGCAAACACTGTGTGAAGAAATAAACACCTTATTTTTGTTTGTCTTCTCTCTTGTAGCTGAGACGCATGCAGGAGATGATCGCTCAGATGCAGGCACAGATGAAGATGAAATCGGACGAGTAAAAGTGTCAGAGCAGAAGGGAAGCACGGCGAGCACACACAAACACACACACACACACACACACACACACACACACACACACACACACACACACACTCACACACACATACAAATATATACATACATACAATACATATACACACACACACCTGGTCCTCCTCTGAATCCATCCCTGACTGCCGCCACCCTGCAGACCCACTAGGCGTCCACCATCACATCATCTTCATCTGCTTCCATCCAAACATCCATCCATCAGCTGTTCAGGAGCTCACCGCACATTTTGTTTTTTGTAATTCTTCCTCAACATCTTGTCAAGACTCCATTTTGTTTGTAGTAGTTTGCTGGGTGGGACTGAACAAAATTTTAAAAACGTACGACCACACAAATATTTGAATACTTGATGATTATCATTGACATGTATCCGTTATTAAGTCTTTGGTCTTAATTATGGTCCACGGAGCTGCCAGTGACAACGGTACTAGGAGGTTTTGCCATCACTCTAACATGTTTACAAAAATATATGCACAAATTGTGCACTTTGTTCAAGTCCGAGCTTCTGATGACACAAGTTTCCATTTATTTTGCTATGAGGTTAAGACTGTTTTGAACATATTTTAACTTAAAAGTAAAAAAAAAAACAAAAAAAAAAAAACAAACGGTTTGCTATTGGTTTATGAGTAATTCAGAAGCCCATCACCTTTACCTCTGGATGGTTTCAGACCTTCAGTGCCTGTTTGCTTCAGTCTTATAATGCAATAACTTAACTAATATTACCACAGTGTAAGTGTGGTTATGAACGAGGTAAACTGTCCATGTTGAGAACGAGGACTTATGTCTAGTTTATAGGCAAAATATTTGCCTTTAATTGTGTTCAATTAGAAACCTTATTCTTTAGCCAGAAATACAAACTTAATTTAGGCGTTTCTTTGGCTTTTAGGCTGGAAAGTTACGATATGCAAGTCATCTAACTAATACCACTCGGTTATAAAGAGACATGTTATAGTTGAATGTGCCTTGTTAATATTTCTGTATTTATCATTAGGAGCTGCATCATCTTAATGTTGGTGCCAAACTACAGACTCAAAACTAATTAAACAGTCCTGTAACTTAATATGTGTCTATATTTGCATCAGTGACATTTAATTTAATGGTCTGATTGTACACTACATGTGCAGTCCATCATCACACTGTACAATATTTGGGCTTTGCCATTTAAAAATCAAATACTACAATATTTAACTGTTATACGTGTAAACTCCCTCCAGCCTTCTGTGAGCAGCACACTAAACATCCTAACTTTTCTTCAGCAGTGCCATCGAACTGTGCTGTCATTGATGTGCTAATTGGCATTATTTTGTTTCTCTTGTCTTTTGCTCTCATATGCATTTGTCTGTTGAACTTTTTAAGACAAACATAATTATTTCTTAACCATATGCCAGTAAAGACTTGTTTTTAGGTGTCAACATTTTTTGTATTTCTCTCCGAAATAAAATTTCTTTAGAGAAAAAAGTGTTTATTTGTTAATTCTGGGTTACTTTTGAATGACACACGTCTGTGGCATTTTATAGTCTTTAGCTGTAAGAATTTACAGTTTAGATTTATTTAGTATTTGTTTTTTATAATTATTTCCATTTTTTAAGTACAGTGTGGTTTATTTGCTTCTTGTAAGATGTGAGCACATTTGTTTCTGACGTGTTTAACTTGACCTTTTAGAGATAAATATCAGTCAACTGTTTACTTCTATTTCTATGGGAAACATTTTAACTGCTGACACTAAGAATGCATGTGAACTTATAATTGAGCAAGATAGTTCAAATAACCCTGTAAGAGCTTCAGCTTGGGTCCGTGCTCTTTCCTAGCAGCACAATTCAAACAAACAGACGTGGGCCTGAGTCACCAAAATATCATCAGCAGTAGGATTTCAATAACAAGAAAAGCAAATGAATACAGTAGAATACAAACAACTGGCAAAGGGAAACTTGAAGTGGTGAATGCAGCTGCTTGTGTCAGATTTAGGGGTAGAATCTGATGTTTTCTGTGATTGGTTGTAAGTGAAAATACCTGATAAGTTTTGGTACAGTTTCTCCAGAACACTGCAACTTTTTTATCTTGATGTTTCAACAACCAAAAAAACAACTTCCTTCTAAACTGAAATCTCTTCCTGACGTGATAACGGTGCAAGTTGTAAGAATGCCATTAATGTCAATGAGTCTGGCTTTGACCCCAACCCCCTCATGGCATCCTGTAGGACCCCAGCTTGTAAAAACTCTGCAGTGTGACTGGCTGAGTGTGTGAGGAGGAGGAGGGGCTTTCATCTGTCAGCTCAGCCCCGCCCTGCTGCTCTCAGTCCGGGGTTTGGAGGCGAGGCGAGGCGAGGGGCCGCTTTCTGTGAGCCGTCGCTTCGGGGAAAAAAAAAAATCCAGGGAGGAGAGCGGTGAACATGACGACCAACATCAGGTACAAAAGCCGGATCCCGGTTAAAACAGGTGAGAATGATTTCTGGATTTATTTACTGTTATGTATATATTGAAAATGAACGTAACGACTGCTTCATGTTTCTGTCTCTCTGGGCGTCGCTCTACATCCCTGCACCTGCGCCTCCTCTTCATCCATCCTGTAATGGCCAATAGAGGACAGCACGGAGGTAAGAGACGTCATTTATTGTACTTATTTTGTATTTTTAAGTGCGGTTGAAAATGCATATTTTACCATAAGCTATTGTCAGAGTATACCGTCGCACAGCAGCACGGCAGCATCAGCTAGATTTTCATTTCAGATCTCACATATTTGCGTTTGTTTTGTCGATGTGCGCGTTTGCCTGTCAGTTCAATGAAGGCAAGATGCTGTGAGTGCGGCCGTGCCATCACTGGCTGAGCGCTGATCAGCACACTGACAGGCGGAGGAGGGGGTGGGGGGGTTGGATTTCATTTTTAGACGCATATGTGGAGCAGGCCGGCGTCACAAGAGGCGAGCAGCCAACATGGTACCCGACAGACAGCATCCTTCCTCTCCATCCTCCCCTCCGTGGCTCTCAGCTCCCTACAGAAATATTAGCGATTATCTGTCATTGAGTCGACCGATGGGCTGACCTAATTGTCAACGTTACATCAGCACGACTCACGATTACAGTCTCTGCTGTTGGGCTGCCTTCAGTGAACCCTTCCTGGTCGTTGTTCAGCTGAGAAACACAGCTGCCACATGAGCCCGCAGGGGAGGTCGCGTCTCTCATGACCCTGGCCTGGGCCTTCCTCCTCCGCCTCTTCCTCGTGGCTTATGATGGTGTCTGATGTCAGTAGAAGAGTATTTGCATGTGCTCCTGAGTGACTGATTCATTCAACCTGATAAATAGAGTCCATCAGCATCATGATTGAAGAGTGCGTGACGGAGCAAAAGTCTGAATAATAATAATAATTTGAGGGATAAAGATGAAAGAGGAGAATAATTTCTGATGCAAGAAGAACACATCTATATGGCTTTATAATAGCAATAGCAATACCCTACTTCTACACATTTCTACACATTTAACACTTATGGAACATTTTAAATTTATATATACTCAGCATGGAAGAAGTACTCAGATGTAAAATAAAAGTAATACCACAATGCAGAAATACTCGCATAAAAGTCATACATTTACATTTTTTGTTAAGTAAAAATTACAGAAGTATAAACATATTGGCATATACTTAAAGTACCAAAAGAAAAGTATGCATTATGTAGTATGTCCCATTTCAGAATAATATACTGTATATTATATTTAATATATTATAATTATTGATGCATTAATGTGTATATCATTGTAATGTTGCAGCTGACAATGGTGGAGCTGAATGTATTTACTATAGTCCATACTACTGGATAGCTTGTGAATGTCCCCTCAGGGAGCAGTGAAATCTTATATTAACCTCTAATAACACATAATTTCTTATTTGTTGATTGTATTTAGAATTATTCATCTAAATCTGCAAAGTAACTAAATATTTAAAATAAATGTGGCGGGGTAAAAAGTACAGAGTTTGCCTCTGAAATGCAACACTTGGATAAATGTACTTAGTGACTTTCCACCACTGTATGTACTGCATAAGCATTTATTTTACAGTTGCCAGTTTATTAGGTAGGCTACACCTAGCTAAAACTAATGCTGCTTAATACAACAGCCCTTAAAAAAAAAAAAAAGATTATGAAATGAATGTTATAATGATCAGTTTTTGCTTTTGTTGAAACCGTTTTAAAGAAGTGTTGATTTATTGTCATGGTCATTTTGAAAGCTGTATTTGGTGATACTGTTGAACTGGATTGTGTTACGCTGAGAGGTGATTTCTAGTCTACGCTTATTAGTATGAATGTGTTGACTAGATATTAGAAACACCTCTCAGAAACAACACAATGCAACTTGAACAGCACCACAAAATACAGCCTCCAAAATGACCAATGAATCAGCCCTTCTCTGAACTGAATATTATAACCTTCAGGAAAGAGGATTCATTGCAGGACTGTTGTGTTAGACGGTATTAGTTTTAGCTTCCCAATAAACTCAGCCCTATATTCACATTTTCAACTCTGCACCGAGAACTTCCCTGAATCAGAATAAACAAGAATAAAACATTCATATAATTAATGTTAAAATATCTGGAGCAGGTCTGTTTTGATGTGTCCTTGAGCAGCGAGACCGATCATCACAAGTAAAAGTCCTGCACTCATAATGATACTGAAAGTAACATATAGTGGTTCACTCGTGTTCAGTATTCAGATTACTATACAGCTTTTACACCTTGTGAGTTTTGTTGTTGGCTGTCATCACTTCTTCACTCCCACATACTCTACTGCATCTGATCCTGTTGGACACATTGAGAAAAATATCTCATATTCTGGACCATCCAGGCTGCGTGCGGAGGAGGAGGAGGAGGAGGAGGAGGAGAGCGAGAGAGAGGAGGAAAACACTGTAATCAGGCTTAGTATGACTGATTCAATGATTAGATCATAACTGCTGAGAGAGTTATAACTGATAATTAATCCTAAATCAATATTTTCACAATATTTCCCTCCTCTCTCCTCTTCCTGTTTCCACATCTCTCTCCCTCTCGTTGCGTTTAGCTCCCGTCACTTCCTTCGCTTTGATATTGTGTTGCCAAGCAACAGTCTTTTTTTTTTTCTTTTTTTTTTTTTTTAAATATAAATCCGTATTCATGAATTCTCTGATACGAATGTGTGGATGACACCATCTGACCTACCCACAATCCTGTGTGGTGATTATTCTGTGTGTGGGTGGATATTCACTGAGCATTTTTCATCTCAGACACTGACAGAGAAAATCCCAATCACAGATATATCAACATTTGGCAGCGACACGTCACCTTGATACAGTGATGCACTGAAGGATCGAATGACAGATGTAGCACCTCTAAAATAATAGGGTCAGCATTGTAAAAACATCCGGTCAGCAAATCAGTCTCACCACAAGGTCCATTAGTAGCTGGTTTGGAGCCATTTTTCTGAGCACTTCTCATCCTTCAAAATTCAAAACTAGTTCATTCTTGAAAGGCAATCTTTCCACAAGCTTCATTAGTAGCTTATCAACATCAGATTTGTTGCCAGGTTGTAGTTTTTTCCAAGAATCCTACAATCAGGCAAAAGAAAACATCATAGAGGAGGCACAAATACAAGCTTCTCTTCCGACTGGAGCCTCAGCAAACCAGAGCGTAATACAGCCACAAATACACTTAGCATTTACTTAATATTATATGTTTAATGCTTTATTTACTTATAGTGAGACAGTGTAACATTCAGTCACTGTAGCCACAAGCAGCAGTTACAGGATAATGGTACGTTTACATAGTCTAACAGCAGCACAATTTAACTGCTGGGCATTAAATTGAGAAAGGGGTTTTTATAGTTTATTAATTCAACTTTTTGTTTGTAAGAGGGAGAATGTGTTATTTTTGTCAGCCTTTTAAGAGATATCCATTCTCTGCTGTTCCTCGTACTTACTCTCTTTGGTTGGTTGCATGTTTACAATCTGCGTCAAGTGTCTGTGAAGAAAACGTGTCGTGAGTTGTACAGATGCAAAACACTCACACAAATGTGTGATTTTGGCCAAAATAAACAAAATTT